GATCTCCAGCATCGTTTTTATCATCAAGGCCATATTTTCCAACTACCAATCCTTCTTCTTTGTTTCCAACCTTTGCATTCCAATTGCTAGTAATTATCAATGCATCTTAACTGCATGTATGATCAATTTCAGACTGCAAAGTCAGTAAAAATCTTCAGTGTCTTCATCTTTGGCCTTAGTAGTTGGTATGTAAATTTGAATAATAGTCGTATTAACTGGTTGTCCTAGTAGTATGGATGTTCTCCTATCACTGACAGAAATTCAAAATTTTACCTAATATATACATACACAAATGTGTAAATAATTACTAGAATAAAACAAATACAAGTTGTATTAATACTTGGAGAAAAAACAAATATACATTAGTCTATTTATTAGCATTTAGGAGTTTAGTTTCTCCCTAGATAGTGGAAAATTTTTTTAGCGAATCAGAAGCACTTGTAATACTCTAAACTTACAGATAGTCCAATTAAATCTATACAGCTTTAAATGTAATACTGATTTATAACTGTAAAGTTTAATTTATTAAGGTTAAATATGGAAAAACTCCTGATTTAAGCACCTCGTCTGTTTTTAGTTTTAGTATGTTTTGCAGAATGTTGTGATCATCAAACATTTTTTAACATTCACCACGTACCCATCACTGTGCTAAATGTTAGGTTTACGTCTAGCAGTCCTCATATAGAATCCAGTCTGTAGAGATATCTGTTTAGGTTTTATAGTGTTTTAAATATTTTAATGAGTTGTCGACAGTTCAAAAATAAAATTTTACATGAAAATCCAAATGCCATATTTCTCTCTAAAAATGTAAGCTCTAATAGTGGAGATTTCTACAGAGCAAAAATCAGCTGTGGAAGAAAAGTGAAGTTAAGTATTTTAAAGAAAGAAATATGCCTATTTAAATATTTTAAAGCCTGACTATCAAATAGAATAAACTATAAAGAATATTTTTTACATTTGTGAATCACAAAGTAATATACTTTATATAGTATATATATTATGCATAGATAAGTCTTATATATCTGAAACTAGTCTGTAAGGAAGTGCAAAAGCTACAATAAAAAGTGAACAGCTTGTAGGAATATTCAAAAAAAGAAATCCTAATTTAAAAATATGTAAAATATTTAGTATTTGTAATAACGAAAGAATTTCAAGCTAAAACAACAAAAATATTTTTTTTTTGTTGGCAAAGATTAAATATATTTATTTATCATTATGCATTAGTGTTAAATGTACAACTTTATATTGTGTCCAATATTGGCAGTATGGGGAAATATATCCTTTCATGAGATTGCATTTGTTGGTGAGAGCTTAAGAGGTATATACACTTTCTGGAGGGCAACTTGGCAATATGCATATAATATTTTATATCCTTTGACCAGTAACTCTACTCAGTAATCAAAGATGTTCAAAATATCTACATATAAGGTTTTTCATGGGCAGCATCATTTACCATAGTGAAAACTGGACACGAACCAAGTTTCTAACAATAGGGGATTGATGAAATAATGTATAAAGGAATGCAGTGCAGCTATTAAAAGTAGTGTTATAAAAAAGAATTTAATGACATGGGAAAATGCTCATGGCAATCTGCTAAGTGAAAAATGTTTTAAGGGACTATATATACAATGATTTCATTCTGAAAAATAGTAAATAGATAAGATAGAAGAATAAACATCAAAATGTCACCAATTATCTCTGGGTAGTGTTCATGGCAGAGTGGGTATTTTCAGATGATTTGTTTATCCTTTTTACTTTCACACAATTTGCAAACTTTTTATACTGAATACTTTGTTTTGCTTTCATAATTACTTTAAAAATAAACAATAAAAATCAAACCTGTAGAATCATAGAACTTTAGAGCTGAAAAATCCTTTAATTCTATGTAACGTCCCAGTTGACATCTGAGGGAACTGACACCAAGGTAGGGTTATGTGCCTCCATGGCTAAGCTGACGAACAGCCCACGCTGCCTGAACTGAGCTGTTTATCCCAAAGTTCAGAGTCAAGACTAAAGACTTTTCTTTGGTGACTTTGTTTTGAATAAGCTTCTTCTAAACGAAAGCAAACTATTACCAAATATCTTCCCGGCTCCTCTCCTCTTTTCTTTCTTTTCCTTTGCTTGTATGGCCTGGAGTGTGGATTGGACTAGGAATTGTGCACAAGAAAGTGGAATAGTTCCCTTTTGTTTCCTCATCTTCCACCCTTCTCCACCCAAATTAGCTAACTTTCATTACAGTAAATAATTCACTACTTTGCAGTTATATAGTACCTTTGTGTAAAGGGACAGTTTTTTCTATCACTTGTTAATCCTAAACACACTCTTGGGAAGTAGGTAAAAATTACCAGGGAGGAGGGAGTAGAGAGGGTAATGTCAAAGGTAATAAATGATGTCAATAAAACTACAGTCTTGTCTCAGTTTTCTGCTTACCAAAATCTATGTAATGGTGAGGATCTACATGCTGGTAATATTGGAGAGAGCAGTGACTTGAGGGGATACAGCTTTTAGACCTTCTGTGCAGATTTTATTTTTTATGTTTTATAAACCCTATGGAGAAATCTACTCTGCCCACACGGGGTCACCATGAATTGAAATCAACTAACAACAACAACATGCGGATTTTATAGTATTGCATAAAATCGTAGACTTTAGGACAAAACTTTTGGATTCAATTCCTGGTTACACTAGTTACTACCTATATGATATTGGGCAAGTCATTTAATTTTTCTGGCCTCAGTTTACTCATCTGTAAAATGGGGACTAATAATAGGACCTAGCTCTTAGTGCTGTTATGAGGATTAAATGCGATTATAAATGCAAAGCACTGAAAGCAGTGCCTGCATGATGGTAAGTGCTATAAAAGTGTTAGCTATTGTTGTTAACTGTAAAACATAATATTATTTTAAAGGGACAAATTAAAAAGAAGAAATGGACAAAGACTTGTATTATCTTTATATGATTTAACATCAAACTTTATAGACTTTAGTGAAAAAAAAGAAAAGTACATGAATCTCTACTATCTGGTTAGCAGCAGATATGCTTAAAGGTTAGAGGAGATCGTTAGGTCACAAAGAGAATTGAATTGGAATTCCAAAAACAGAGTCCTACACTCTCTGGGATAACACCTCCAGAAAACTTTATTACCCTTTCTTTAACTTAATAATATGCGTCATTGAGTTACTACATAACTGGAATTAGTGAACATACTGAAATAAGACACTGTCACAGCTCAAACCTTCTCTGGTTTGACCTTGAGGGTTTATCCCTCATCTACTCCATGGGAAAACTGACTTTAGTTCATTGGTGTAGATTGATAACATCCTTTTCCTACTTGCCAGTTTCCTCCTTATCATAAGCTCGTACTGGTGAAACAGAAAATATAAAATTGTTTATACTGGCTATATCATGTTTCTACTGTTAATTAAACAAAAGGATTTTTAAGACCCCCACCCCAACACCAAAGCATACAATTTTTTTCCCATGAGTTCAATAAAGTATTGATCTCTTTGCAGATCTGGGAATCTACTCAGAGTTGGGATATTGAGCAGGGTGAGGAGATTAGAGGCAAGGGAGGATGGAGAGTATATTCTAGAATATTTCAATTCCTTTCATTTCTAGTGAAATAAACGTAAAAACTATTTCCCATTGCATATGATGCTAACACTCCTGATGTATTTCTCCTAACATAAATGTTCCTGAAAAGATTGCATTTAATACTAACTGAATACAAAATTAGGCATAAACACAGGTTTCTTTGTTTTGTAGCGTTTTGTTTTGCAGTACTGTAAGTACTCTACATCATCATTTGAGTAATATCTGTATCTCTCATTATATCAAAAGCCCCATGAGGATGTGATACCATATCAGTTTTATATGCATAGTTATACATGCATTAAGACGCTCAGTAAACATTTGTTAAATGAATGAACAAACAAATGAGCAAACCTATTATCTTGGATTCTCAGTCTTCGGAGCTTCCCCTCAATTTACTGGGTGTCATGTTTTATGTTATTTTACTTCTATCACATTGATAGAGTGGGGATTTTATATAATTATGCTTTCATATAAAGCACACTATCTGTTATTATTCATTATGAAGGCATTTTTCCACTGAATACACTTGTGTTATTGTGGTCAGGGGCAACATTAGAAGCTGTTACAAAGAAGTCTCAAGATGACCATGTTTCTGGTCAAGGTTAGAACCTCTTTTCATCTTGACTTATATTCAGGAAGTGATTTATTTTGCCAAAAAAGAACAAACGTACCCATCACCCCCATGTGACCAAGGAGTCAGGAGACAACACAGAGCCACAGGAGACAATAGACAGGACCACTTCAAAGATGATTAATTATACCCATTGAACAGTTTTCTCATTTTCTCTGGTCCTTAAGGTAGCTTCAACGAGAAGTTTCTATGAGGACATCACTATTTATTCTCTATAGGTTATTTCATATAGTTACACATCAGTAAATTGTAAATTATTTCTAGTTCTTATCCCAGGATGCTTTGACATTCATTCTGAACCAATCCTTCTAGTTATCCCTATGATCTCACTTTATGAAAGAAGTCTTCCAGATGTCATAAGTTTAATTTTAAACCAAACTAAATTAAATATCAGTTGTGTATTTGTAATGCTAAAATAACCAATGATTTTGCATACATATACAAATAAACACACATGATTTAAAAATACACAATCCTCAATTCAATGATTTTTGATGGTTTATTTCTAGGGATTTTTTTAAATAAATAAACTAATAATATTCAGAATTAACACATTAGAAAGTGTTTTATTTCTAAGTTTCTGAATTTTTGTAAATAATACCACTCCTTTTGGCAAGGAGGAAATATTTTAAACCATATAATCTGTACAGAGACTATGTTAATGCAATCTCTAAAAAATACACTAATTCCATTCAGTATATAAAAGACAATATAAGATATTCACTACTATGTCAGTATCAGTTTAATAAAGATTTTTTTAAAGTCTCATACTTACATTGGTATCTTTCCCTGCTAATTTGCATAATTCCACCCGTTCCTTTGAAGCAGGCCAATAGATCTGTAAAACATTTCAAGGTGTGTTAGAATCTGAATATCGAAAACACCGAATACTTTTTTTTTTTTTAAATTGTCATTTAGGTGAAAGTTTACAGAGCAAACTAGTTTCTCATTGAAAAAATTATATGCAAATTGTTTCATGGCATTGTCTGCAACATTGCATTGTGTCAGTACTCTCCCCCTTTTCCTTTGCACCTCAGGTTCATCAAGTCCATTCGTCCGGTTTTCCTCTCCCCTCCCACCTTCTCGTTTTCGTTTCTGGGCAGATGTTGCCCATTTGATCTCGTATACCTGATTGATCTAAGAAGCACACTCCTTGCGTGTGTAAACATCCTATATTTCTGATTTGGGAAACTGAGTGTGGGAAACTGAAGAGTGGATGTCACGCCAAAAGCAGATCCTTAGACTCAATGTGAGATTATTTAAAGTTTTAAATATTTTACAAAGCCACTCTGAAAAGTTTCTAAGAGAAAACTCTGTAGAAATATTCATTTTCATGTTAATCTTCTAGTCTTTGTTTAAATATATTTAATAATTGATAAATTATGTTCAGAGGGCCATAAGCTCTTATTGTGATGTCAACAGAATTTCAGATTGGCATTTGCTTAAGTAAGAAGCTCTATTGACCCTGTTTTTCTGTGTTTACTCAGAGTGACAAAACATTATAACCATGTATGATGAGGTGGTGGAAACAGCTCTCTGTCAGAAGCAGGAGTTAGCGTTCCAAGCCAAAGACCAGTGTGAAGCTGTTGACAATATTTAACAAGTATGGAGTTCAGTTGCATCTGTTACTTGGCTAAACATTTTGTAAGCATTATCTTCTTTAGATCTCACAATGACCCTGTATGATAGCTGTAATTATTTTCCTCATTATCAGGTCAGAAAACTTACTTATACAGACGTTCAATAATATGCCAAGGGCCATAGAGCTAGTTAGCAGCAGTGCCAAAATCTGACCCAAAGTATCTCTATCTCTATGTCCTGAACTCAGGATCCTAATGATTACCTTATAAATATTATTTAGACAAATGACTAAAGAACAAGGGCATCAGACTCCTTGGTTGGTAGTTCTTAATCACATTTTACAATCTTGAAATTATCAGAAACATGTTAGGTTTTTTTTTTGTTTGTTTGTTTTGTTCTGCCCTTTATTTTTAACAAACTTTAGAAATACTGTTAGGACACTTTTGCAAAATAAGATTCAAACAGGTACATAACTCCATTCGCTTACAGAGAATAATGTTCACTGTTAAGCTACAGACAAGAAGAAACGTGAAAAGCAAGCTCTGAGTTGCTTGTAAATGATTGTACCAAGAAGTTCCTGATGACATTTTACTATTTTTCTCACCAGTGTTAGCAGAAACTGTTTTAATCAATGAGGAAAAAGAAAATATCCTGAGGGAATACACTGAAAGAGACTTGTTAAATCTGGAATTAACAAATGATTTAGAAGTCACCAATGTTGATATGATACTATCTTTATAGTGAAATTTTAGGTGTTTGTATCTCTGAATAAAGACAAGCATAGAATAGCACTCAAAATTCCCTTAATGTAAATACAAGAATTTTTTCAGATTTTCAATTGAAGCAAGTTTGATCATTTAGAGTACACTTTATTGAAGATGTATATCGGCAGGGTGGTTGTGTCAGCAGTAGGCTCTAGTCATGAGCTAAACCTAATGTGGTTCACAAAAGTATCTAAAGATTTTATTTCTTCATAAACACCTTAAATCATTGCAATTATACCTTCACACGATTTTTAATCGTTTCCGGCTGTCAAAAATGAATGAAGTAAAGCAATGAAAAACATTATGGATTTATCTTAGCAATACAGTAAAATTATTAGGTGAAAAAATATGTCCTCCAAAATTATATACAGCATGATACCCTTAGAGCAAAATTAAACAAACTAAAAAAAAACCTAAAAGTATATACATTTTAGGTATATCTGTAGATGTAACAGTGTATGAAAAGAAAATGGTGAATAGAGAATTCAGGATGATAATTACCAAAGAGGAGAAAAAGAAAAGGGATAAGTTAGTGGTAAAAAGCAAGTTATTTACCAGATCCTAGCTTTCGTTTTGGATGGTATGTATTCAAGTGCTTAATAGATAATTAAAAACAAGTAAGTAATATAAGGAATCCCTGGGTGGTGCAAATGGTTAATGTACTAGGCTGCTAACCAAAACGTTGGAAGTTCATGTCCACGCAGAGGTGGCTTGAAAGAAAGGCATGGCAATCTACTTCCGAAAAATCAACTATCGAAAATCCTACAGAGCACAGTTCTCTGACACAGATAGGGTTGCCATGAGTCAGAATCAACTCAATGGCCACCAGTAAGTAATGTTGTTGCTGTTAGGTGCCTTTGGGTCAGTTTTGACTCACAGTGACCATATGCACAAGTGAACAAAACACAGCCCAGTTCTTCACCATCCTCACAATCGTTGCTATGTTTGAGCCCATTGTTGCAGCCACTGTATCAATCAATCAAATCTTTTTCATTGACCCTCTACCAAGCATGATGTCCTTCTCCAGGGACTGGTCCCTCCAAATAACATGTCCAAAGTACGTAAGATGAAGTCTCGCCATCCTCACTTCTAAGGAGCATCCTGGCTATACTTCCTCCAAGACAGATTTGTTTGTTCTTCTGGCAGTCTAGCGTATACTCAATATTTTCGCCCACACCATAATTCAAAGACATCAATTCTTCTTCAGTCTTACTTAAATTCTTTTTCGGTCTTCCCTATTTGATGGCAATGGGGCCAGTAAGTAATATAAGTTGGTAAGTGAATAAATCAAGCTAGTGAGTCTGTCATAAACCTATAATTATGAGGTTTTAAATAAATGAATAATAAAAATAAATCCCTTCAGCTAGCAGGAAATTTGAAAGTTTCTTTGTTTTCTTTACTGTTGGTAGCAAAAATACTGGACTGAGTGTTCTCTTCTCTCCTTCAAAAATACCATCTTAAATGTATGGACTCATCAATTCTTATATGAGTTTATGAGTTCAAGGTATCCTCTAATGCTTTCTTGCTGGTTCTTGAATATTACAGTGATTTTATGAATGACAATATTATATCATTGGAATGAAAATAGCACACAGAAAGGATGTCCATAATCTGCCAGTTGGTTTACTCCTTAGCTCAATTTATTGGTCTCTAGTGTAGATTGCTGAAGATCATTCAAAAGTGGCTACAGCAGTAGTATTGACAGGGAACTGCCAGAAATTCAAGCTGGATTCAGAAGAGGAAGTGGAGCCAGGGATATCATTGCTGATGTCAGATGGATCCTAGCTGAAAGCAGAGAATACCAGAAAGATGTTTACCTGTGTTTTATTGACTATGCAAAGGCATTCGACTGTGTGGATCACAACAAATTGTGGATACAATTGAGAAGAATGGGAATTCCAGAATACTTAATTGTGTTCGTGAGGAACGTGTACATAGATCAAAAGGCAGTCATTTGAACAGAATAAGGTGATACTTTGTGGTTTTAAAGACAGGAATGGTGTATGTCAGGGTTGTATCCTTTCACCAATCTGTATGCTGAGCAAATAGTCCAACAAGCTGGACTATATGAATAAGAATGGGGCATCAGGATTGGAGGAAGACTCATTAACAACCTGCTGCGTTGTGCAGATGACATAACCTTGCTTGCTGTAAGTGAAGAGGACTTGAAGTACTTACTGATGAAGATCAAAGACTGCAGCCTTCAGTATGGATTACATCTCAACATAAAGAAAATAAAAATCCTCACAACTGGACCAATAAGCAACATCATGTTAAATGGAGAAAAGATTGAAGTTGTCAAGGATTTCATTTTACTTGGATCCTCAATCAACACCCATGGAAGCAGCAGTCAAGAAATCAAATGATGCACTGCTTGGGGCAAATTGGCTGCAAAAGAACTCTTTAAAGCGTTGAAAAGCAAAGATGTCACCTTCAAGACTAAGCCACGGTGTTTTCAATCACCTCGTATGCATGTGAAAACTGAATGATGAATAAGGAAAACTGAAGAACAATTCATACCTTTGAATATCAGTGTTGGCGAAGAATATTGAATATACCATGGACGGCCAAAAGAACAAATGAAAATGCCTTAGAAGAAGGACATCCAGAATGTTCCTTAGAAGCAAGAATGGCAAGACTACATCTGACATACTTTGGACATGTTATCAGGACGGATCAGTCCCTGGAGAAGCACATCATGCTTGGTAAAGCAGAGTGTCAGTGAAAAAGAGGAAAGACCCTCAACAAGACGGATTAACACAGTGGCTGCAATAATGGGCTCAAGTATAACAAAGATTGTGAAGATGGTGCAGGAGTGGGCAGTGTTTTGTTCTATTGTACACAGTGCCGCTATGAGTCAGAACTGACTCCACAGCACATAACAAGAACAACAACAACAAAGTGTAGATTAATACTTCTTGTATCATTTCAATGCTTCAGATTCTATTCTTTCTATTTTATATTATGGTTAGATTTAAACACATTTCAGAAATAAATTTAGGACAAATATTTAGATTTGTTCAGATCCAAATATCTTACCTGAATTAATACTACAGAAAAAATAAAAGCAAGATGTAGGACTCTTTCGTATTAAGTAAATCAATCTTAAAGAAGGGGAGGATTATCAGAGACTTCTATTTTTTATACCACCCATGGTAATGGGTGATTGGCTTAATGTCTCTAAAGCTGAGTTTGATTATATTTAGAACTGCTTCTGAAAGGAGAGTTATTTAAAGAGGGATTAGATGTGGAAGAGATCATTACATCATTTTGAAATCAGAATTCAAAGTCAAAGTTAGCAGAAAGTAGATACTGTTCATTAATCATTTGCTTTTGTTTCTGTTTTTCTTTTGGTTTTTGTTGTTGTTAGGTGCCGTCTAGTAGCTTCCCACTCATAGTACAAGAGAATGAAACACTGCCCTGCGCTATCCTGCACTATCCTCACAATCGTTGCTGTGTTTGAGCCCATAAGTGGTGAATTTGTTCATTAGAC